TGTTAATGATTTCAAGCTTCGAGCGAAGAGGGGCCCTCCAATGCTCGTACATACCATGCCGCCACAGAGCAGCGCTTGGGGCGTACCGCGCGTTTGGCGTGGATCCTGCGCCCCGCCCGGGCCCCGCTGCGTCTCCGAGACGGGGACGTGTCGCAGGACGTGTCGCATCTCCGCAGTAGCAGCAGCACTGCTCGTGGCAGTACCGGCCGTGGTAGTATCTTCAGGATCGGCAGCATGAGTAGCAGTAAGAATGGTCGTCGCGGCTGCAGTGTGGTAGAAGGTGTGTGTGTGTGGGGGTGCCCACACGAATGGCCAACGGCTGGTGCTGCCCTCTTCCAGTTTCGGGGGCTTCGGTGTGCGCAGGTATTTGCGCTTTGTAGCGTGGCGTGGGCTCAGAAGCCCCATTGCCAGTGCCCCTACGGTTGTCATGAGGGTAGATTTGCGCCCTCACGGGTCTGTGCCATCTGGGGCGGTGCTTTGCAAGCCTTTGATTGACCCTCTCGTGGGGCTGCCCTGGGTTCCTGGCTACCTTCGTGCCAATTCACGGCCCTCCTTTTCGCCGCTCCAGCCATCGGGCCTGGGCGACGGCGTCGGGGTGGGGTGACAGGGGTGTGTGGGGAGCGTCGTTGGGGCCCAGCCAGGTCGCGGCTCTGTCGTCACCTGGGCCCCACGTCCCGCAGTCAGATCTCGTTCAGATGACTGTTCTGGCCCAGCTAGCTAGGAGCGGCATCTCAAAGGCAGGCAATGGGGGTCTCCAGTCGGCTGGCACGGGCGTGGGTGCAAGTCGCTTGTTCCGAACCCTAAGTCGGCTCTCTGGGCGGCCCTCGCTGCACGTGCACTTCTCCTGGTTTGCGCTGCGCGGCGATGCAACCACTGGGTCGAAGCTATCGGCCTTTGCGCCGAAGCGAAGCGGAGGGGAGGGGAGGCGGAGAAGGGGAGGCATCGCAGGCCTCGAGGTTGACACCAACACCAATATCGGCGGCGTGCCTCCACCGAGGGAAGAAGATCCCAGTCTCGGCGATGGTGGTAATATTTTGGCTTCCAAGGTGGCCGAAATATTACCACCAACACCGAAATCTGGGGTCATCTTCCCACTGTGGAGGCAACCCCCTGTGTTGGTGCTGGTGCCATGTTCCAGGCCTCCAAACGCAGAGGCGAGCAGGCACAGTCAGGAGAGAGAATCCGTTGCGCTGCGGGCCGGCCAGCGTAGCAAGGCAGCGCTGCACGCGCGCGTTTTCTCCCCTCTGTCTTCGGCGCACCGCCTGCACGGCGGCCGCAACGGCTCGCGGAGGTGGGCGCCAGCGGGGAAGACCAAGGGAAGGCTTGGCTGCTCAGCTGCCCTGATTCGGCGGCGCGCCCGGGGGGAAGTGATAAGGAAAATGAATTCTCAGAAGGCTCGGAAGACCCCCCCGCCTTCTGAGAAGTTATTTATTGAATTTTTACCCTGAGACACAGAAATCACCCCAGTGCGACCCTACCTAGAAGTGAGAGCCCCTAACAAAGCAGCATTAGTTGCTATGCTGTGCTATGCTATGCCATGCTATGCTGCGCTATGCTATGCTATGCTATGCTATGCTGTGCTATGCTGCGCTATGCTATGCTATGCTATGCTATGCTGCGACATGCCATACTATGCTGTGCTATGCTATGCCATGCTGTGATAAGCTATGCTGTGTCATGACGCGCTGTACTATGTTAATATATGCTATGGTATGCGATGCCATGCTACACTGCGGTATGCTATGCTATGATATGCTATGATATGCTATGTTATGCCATGCTATGCTATGTTATGCTATGCGATGTTATGCTATACTGCGCTATGCTATGATATGCTATGATATGATTGGCTATGCTATGTTATGCTATGCTAATGCAGCGCTGCGCTATGCTAAGTTAAGCTAAGCTAAGCTAACCCCTAGGCAGAGCCTAGGTAGGGACTTACACCCATGCTAATGAAGGTCAGCTAAGCTAAGATATATCTGAGCTAAGATGAAGCTAAGCTAAACTGAAATAAGCTAAGCTAAGATGACAGAAACAACGCTAAGCTAAGGGGACGTAGCTGGGGGAACCGCGGCGCGGATACTGGGCGAACCGCCCGGGGCGAGTTGCACTGCCCGGCCCTTTAAGCATACCGAGTAAGAACCCTTCTAGGCAGAGCCTAGGTAGGGAAAAACACTTCTCGGAAGACGCGAGGGCGTCTGAGAAGTCCGGCCGCCTTCCTGAGAAGGCCTCCTCCTTTTCACTTCCCCCCAGGTTCGCCGCCGACTGATACGCCCGTCTTGAAGCGCAACACGTACCGTTCAAAACGTCCGTGTGGACACGTTGCGTCTCGCGTCGGACCTGCGTGCTCAGTCAACGTCCTGAGCTCTGTGACAACACGCTACGTACGTGCCGCGTGGTGCGTACAGTGGGGGCGTTGGTTAAGGAATGCGCCCAGGAGTCCGCAGACCCTGGAGGGTTCCTTATCCAATGAGGGCGGCAGTGATATTCATGGCCGATCCACGATTGGCTTTCCGCTGGCTTCCAGACCCTGGGTTCCTTATATCGAAGGTTTCCTTACCCAGTGCCCCCACCGTACCCGGGCAGCTGAGCTTGACCGTTCTCCCCCCCCTCCCCGTCCGCTTGCCGGTGGTGCCCCAGGCCCGGGGCCGCCCCGCGGTTTTCACTTGGGGGCCGTGCGACTGGGGTCAATCAGGTAGGGCGAAGAGAACTATGCACATGCACCGATCCTGGTAAGGCCCATCCTTGACCCAGGATCGGTGCATATGCTCTCCTGGCCACTTGGCCACTGTAGGAGGGCGTAAGCACCGATCCTGGGCTCAGGACGGGCCTGGCCAGAATCGGTGTAGGTGCATGGTTCTCTTTCTTCGATCAGGAGGGACAAAAAACACACAGACACAATCCATCGTCGATTCCCAAAGAAAATATGGGAAAATATGGGAAGTGGGGGGAAACACAAAAACCCGGAAAGTATAAGAAAGCATATGTGGACTTCTGTAATTTGAGTGTGTGTGTGTGTGTGTTTATCTGTGTGTCCCGGGGCCCCTTCGGTCAATGCAAACGGGGGTCAGTCAGAGCGCTGGGTCTTGCAGGATCCTGCAGAGCCCGGGCCGCACTGACCCGCGCCTGGGCGCAGGATCCTGCAGGATCCCGCAGCGTCCTGCAGGCTCCTGCAGAGCCTGACTGAAGCGGGTCTGGATGGACCTGTGCCAGCAGATCCCCGATGTTCGCACCGACCGACCGCCCTCCTGAGCTTTTTTTTTTGTTTTGCTCTGCTCTCGAGCCCCTCTCCTTACCAGCCTGGAACATATCCCTATCCCTATGCTGGTCACCTCCTCGTCACGATGCCAATCTCAGGTATTCCCTTATTTTTTGAGGGCGCATCCCTAAGATTGTCATCGCCTTTTTGGCGTGCCAATCTCAGGGATAGGGATACGCTCGAGGCTGGTAACCCTGAGCTTTTTTTATCTGCGCTGTTCTCGAGCCCCTCTCCTTGCAAAGCCTGCCCGGCCGCTTCCCCCTCGCGCGTCTCCGCCGCCGCCGCGCCCATGGCAGCTCGAGCGGCGGGGCCCCTGTCCCCCTGCGTCGCCGCCCCTCTCTGCTCGGAGACGACGAGGGGGGGCGACTGTCAGGAGGGAAAACAACACGGACACAAGTCATATCGTCGATTCCCCCCAAGACATGGGAAAATATGGGACGTGCGGGGTAAGACGAAAAACCCCTAAAATATGTGGGAAGTTTCTTTTATTATTAAAAAAAACCTGTGTGTATATATTGGTGTGTCCTGGGGCCTCCTTAGACTGGGCCGGGGGCGGGCGCTGCCCATCGGTCGTTGAACGTAGGCATATTCTTCGGGATCCCTGGATTCCCCATCTGCCTCCAGCGCCCTCCTACTTCAGTGATCCAGTGGCTCCCCCTCTGCCCTCCTCCCCAGGGGGATGCCACTCCTGGGAGGTCAAATTCTGATCCAGCCCTGGTCCGACGTCCGGCTTAATCCGGCTTGATCCCGCTTGATCCGGTTTAATCCCGCTTAATCCGGCTTGCTCCTGCTTAGTCCGAGGCCCATTCCGGCGTAACAGCTCCCAAATGGGGCTTAATCCTCGTTCATTTTTTCCGACGAAGACCTCCCAGTAGTTTCTTCCTCCCCAGGGGGGCGGGCGGATGTACCCAATCTACTTTCAACGCCTTCCTACTTCATGCTCCGACCTGCTTGTTCCGACCGATGGGCATTCGTCCGGGAGTACTGCCGAAGGCATGGGCCATCGGCGCCCTCGGATATGCGTACTCCTCTCCCCATGGTCTATGCGCCTCCGTCGCCGCCCCCGATGCGCGTCCTTCCGCCGCTCTCCCAGGTCGTGGGCGCCCTCTCGGACGGGGCTGGGACGGGGATAAGTCCGTTCCAGAGCGTTCCGGAACGCTCCCAGGGCGTTTCGGGACGCTCTGAGACGGCCGCGCCGCCTGAGACAGCCAGCCTCCAGACCCGCCGGATCTCGGCCATTCTCGCTCTGTCCTCACCCGATTCGGTGCTCGTCCCGGCTTCGTCTGATCTCCCTGGTCGTGGGCCCTGCTCCGCTGGCAGCAGCAGGTCGCCCCGACCGCCCAGGACCTTCGCTGCCTCGATGCGCGCGTCTTGATGCGCAACACGCCCCGTACTCGAGACGTCCGTGCCAAGACGCTGCGTGTCGGCTCCACGTCTTGGACCACGTTTTGGCGAGTGCATCGCGTCGGACCCACGTACAGCGCCGGTTTTAATACATGCTCTGCGTGCAGACCATGTATCAAACAATAAAGAGTTGACTTATACATGCAACGATGAGTTTATGCATGCATTTATTCATGCATTCATCATGTATTTAAACTCCTATATTTTCTAAAAACATTTGTTAAGAACTGCCCTGTACGTGTTGAGCTCCGTATCCATACGCTACGTGTTGCGTGCTGCGCATCGGGGCGGCCAAGCCCAGGGCCGTCTCGGGAGGCGCCGCGCACGGCGGGCCATGCGGAGCGGCTCAGCTGCGGGCTCTCCGCGGGCCCCCCCCCGGCGGCCTGCCGGAGGCGCCCGGGGCGCCAGGCGGAGGAAGCGCTGCCCCGCGCTCCTCTCGGGGGCGGACAGAAACCCCAACAGTGACACGTCGATTCGTGAATTGTCCGTTTTCGGTTCTCGAGAGGGCGCCGCGGCCGCTATTTTCCAGGCTTGCGCCCGCCAGGTTTGGGCCTCAGGTCGTTTTCACTAAACCACGTTTTACTAAGGGGAGGTCTGTCCATCCCCGATCCTCGGGCCCCCCCCCGGGACATGAGATTAAGTCGGGCCTGTCCCTCTACAGGAGGAAGATGCAAACACAGTTAAAAAGATGATATGGGGACTATTTGTTTAGTATTGTTGGGCATCTTTGGAGCATTTTGCGGGTGTTCTTTATTCTTCGTCCCAAATCCCCCTGTAGTTGGGGGCCAGGGCCGACCCAAACGTAAGAGTGGCCCTTCGCCGGAGCGACTGCCGGGGCGGGCGCAACGGGTTCCCCCGATCGCCGAACGCGATGCGGCAGTAGCGTCCTGCGCGCCTGTGTCTGGTCCCCCCGCGGCCCCCCAAATGCAGCGCGCCAAAGGCCACTCCCACCCAGGGTCACTCTTGCGTGTCGTCCGCCTCGGAGGAGGAAAGGGTGCCCATACCGCTACCCTTGCATGCGATTTTTCTCCCCCAATCCCCGAGCTCCGCCCTGAAAGTTTGGCCGTTAATCAAGGGAGGAAAAACCACCCGGACCGGACAGTTGGCGTTTGCTAAACGGCCCTGGGCGTTTACTAAACAGCCCTGCCCTGTTTGATTCCTTCTTTGGGCGTGTTTGCTAAACGGCTTCGCGTGTCGGGGTGGTCATTATCGGGGTGGATTTTGTGCTTTCTAGTTAAGGAAACGAGGGACACGCTGGGATACACCCCAAGGGGGCTATTAGGACGCACCCCTATCGAGGACGGACGCCCCCGCATCGTGCATCCCAGGGTTGGGCCAAGACTTTCTGGTCCATTCGGGAGCCCCACGAAGCCTGGGATAGGGGTCGGCATGCCCCCTGTTACGTATCGCTACCCTTCCCTTGCGCTCCCTTTTTGGGGGCCTCCAGGGGGACCCTCGTCGCCAACGCTGGATTCGATTCGAGATTCTGGTCAGATCGCATCCCCAGAGAGTTCTAGGGAGTAGCGGTATCGGTACCTTCTGGTTACCTCACCTTTTCCTCTTCCTTTTCCCTTTCTCCTCCTGCTCCTGCTCCTCGTCAGGCGTTCCCGACTGCGGGGAGGGGACGTTGGGCGACGGCGGGTGGGGGGGTAACAGAGGATCGGGAGCGCGAGATGCTCAGCAGATGGCCAGCCGTTTGGTGTCGGCGTTGTGCCGCATGCGTGAACACGGCCAGGGGAATGCACCGTCTTGCGCACGTGACTTCTTCCGCCTCCCCGGCACGGCTCGGCCGCTGAGCGCGAGCGGCATCAGAGGCGTGCCCGACCTTGACGGCAGGCTCCCGACCACAGTTCGCGGACTCGCAGCGTGGGGCTTGGGACGGCATGTGACGGCACCGTGAGGTTGACAGGCCCCTAGTGTTAAGTCGGGCCTGTCCCCACTACAGGGGGATTTTCGATAGAAAATAGAAATACCCTACAAATATTCAAAACATAGTCCAACAATAGTCGGGGCACTATTGTTTGAGTATTTTTTGATTTTTTTGGGGTATTCTTGGGGTATTTTATTTTTCGTTGAAAATCCCCCTGTAGGGGGACAGGCCCGACATAACCCTAGTGGGTTGGGGTCTTTGGAGCCCTTCGGCGCTCGCTCGGGCTTGGCGGGGGGAGGCTCCTCGAGCCCTCAGGTGGGGCCTCAGGGGCTGGTGTCTCGGCTCACCGGCACGTGTTGTCGGATGCTGGTTCGTGGGAGTCAGCGGGCTGTTCGCACACACATACACGCATGCGCGCTCACACAAACGTCAGCACGCACCCGCGCACACATGAGCATTCGCATGTCTGACTTGCGCTGGCGCCACTGATTAGACGCCAAAGCGAAGAAGCCGTGAGCTCACGGCTGATATGTGGTTACATGCTGCAGCGTGGTGCCCTCGCTCTCGCCGAGCATACTCTGCACGGGCCACCGTGGGAAGACCGCATGGACCCCTGTGGGTGACACGCACACCCGAACGCAGTTCTCTTCTGGAGCGCCGATGGGTTGCAGTCGGTGCTGCAAAGCAGTATGGTGGCGGGCTCCGCTCAACGTGAACTGGCCACCTTGTATAGTATTGGAGCGTAGCCGAAACTGTGAGCTCCAGGGGAAGTCGGACGTGGCCGACTGCTGGGCAGAAACGAACAGAGACACGCACGCACACACGCATCAGAAAGGGTAACACGATGCATTGTGCACGTGAAGCAATGTGACGCCATCATGTTTGCATGAACAGAAGGCGCGTGTCGTATCATTACACCTGGCTTCAAGACCACACGTTCGCGCCTCGCTTAGTTTCTGGGTGTTGACGTACAGGGAACTGCGGTGAACGAGTATGTTGATTCTCCTACATGAACCCAGCGGGTACTAGGCATTGCTTCAGCCTTGCCCCAGCCCTCGAGACATCACGCTTGCCGAAAGCACCGCAGGCGTGCGCCGGGAAGCTCCTGCCCTATTCGCTTTACTTGCTTGTGCCCACGTGTGCGCAAGCTACCCTGGTAGACGCCAGTGGAGCTGAACGGAGAAATCCCAGAGTTGAAGCCTGGACTGACGTCCGACTGGGCACAGCACGCTGCGCGCACTCATATAAACACGTGGAGCTACAGCGTGCACGTCTCCTGCCCGTGAGCTGCGGGCAGCGCGGACCAAGACGCACGCACGCACGTGCGCAGGCCCACGAACTTTTTCCGATGACGATGCTTGTTGAATGCTGAGGGTACTTTTCATCGTCGTCGTCATCATCGTCATCGTCATCGCCATCGTCATCGTCATCATCATGACGCGCAGTGGCACATTCGGATCATGCGCACACGCACACATACACACTGCCTTGAAGCAGCTGTCACGCCCAGATGCTCTGAACGAGTGGGCTTACGAGGCCGTAGGTCCACGAGGTCTTCGATCAGTGGCAAGTGCGCCTCTTGTGCCCAGCAGTTGTGAAGGCTCGGCAGTGCGTGGTGTGCTGAACGGGACCCTGCGGCGTAAAGCTTCCCAGACTCGGCGACAGCCGATCGTCAAATGCATATTATTGTGCCAGTGCTATCTTCACATACCCAGGTGTTGCTATCACAGCTGCCCTGTTACATTGCTAACGTGCAGCAGGGAGAACGGAATCAAATGGTCAGTGGCAAGGGTGCCACTCGATCTCCCACTGATGCTTGCCGTTGTTTTGCGGAGTAAGTGCTCGAATGGCGAGATTCTTGCGCATCCCTCGTCACACGAACGATTCAGTGCTTGCTCTGCGATTCGCTGGCTTTCAGGTGAATGTCCTACTCCCTGTGTCCGTGAAGCCGCCCGTTAGCGCATTGTCGCCAGGATCCACCTTGAAGGTCACCCTCACGTCGACCTTCGTGGACCACGCAGCCGTTGAGGCGGTCGCGTTTCTTGTTTCTTGGTCTCCGCCTTGCCACCGTTGCTGTCGGCGCAACTTTGATCACAGTCAATGTATTTTGCTGTTTCCACCGCTGTTACAATCACCTTCGTCGTCTCATCGCCTGTTCATAATAAGTCTTAACGCTTCGTGTACAATGGGGACCCATGCCAAGAAGCATCCTGCTTGCCTCCTGGGTTCTCTGGGTTTCCTGGGTTTCGATGGTTTTGCTGTGGACAGCGTGACGTTCCCACAACAAATCACTGGACGTCCTGGGGTCTCAGCGTTGGTTTCTTGTGGAAGGTTTCTTGTGGTCGAGCTCCTACTGTAGTTAAAGCACAGCGGGCAACCATTGTGAACAGAGAGATCTCTGGGAGCAAGGGGGTGTCCTTGGAGGGCCTCCTCGGAGCACCCCTGGGCCTTGCGTGGGGGCGAGGGAGGTGGGAGGAGAAAGAGGACGATGACGACCACGACGACGAATAAGATGGGGAAACGGAAAGGGAAGACGATGAGGGCAAGGACGAGGACGAGGAGGAGGAGGAGGAGGCGGACCACGAGGACGAGGACAGAGCCCTCAGAATCGCCCCTCGGAGCCCTCGTAGGACTCTTTTTTGGGGGATTTGGGGGTCCTCTTGGGGCTCTTCAGTTAGGGCCCTCTTGGGGGTCTCCTGGGGGTCTCCTTGGAGCCTTGGAGGGCCTCCCGGGGCTATCTCGGAGGCCGTCGATGAAACGGGGGGGGGGTCGTAACGTTTGGTGCGACCCCGGGGCCATCAAATTCACTCCTTGGGGCGCTCTTGGCGCGCTCGTGGGCGCCCTTGGGGCCGTGTGGAGGGCCTCTTGGGCCCCTCTTGTGCCTCTCTTGCGTCAGCTTGGGGCAATGTTGAGGTCTCGACAGCGCGTCGGAGGCGAAACGGCGAGACGGAACACATCATTGATGTTCCGTGGGTGTTTGAAGAATGTTGGCCTCTTGGGGGGTCCAGAGGGGATTCCGAGAGCACTTGAAACTCGCCCTGTGGCCCTCGTCGGGCCTCTTGGAGATATGTCGGAAGATAATTCTCTCGAACCATCGCTGGCTATCTTGAGCCATCTTGGAGGCCATCCTGGAGCATCGGAGGCACTATTGGAACCATCCTGGGCCATCTATCCTGGGCGCCCTGACACTTCGCGGCCCGCCCCGAAACACCTCGGGAGGTGGGGGATAAGCCGCCCGGAAGGAAAGAGGTTTTTGGAAGAGGAAAGAAAGACACTGCGAGATCATTTTGGCCCCAGGTGCTGGTGGGATGTGGGCAGAGCCGTTTCCGCCAACGTCGGAGGTCTGAGGGCGCGATCGAAGTGGAACGGAGCCCCCGAAACGGGAACGCTACCTCGGTTTCGCTCCGTGCCGTGCGCGGCGGGCGCGACGGGCGAGGCGAAGTTGCCCAAGGGCGAGGCAGATCCCTGCCTCGACAGGGCAGGCTGCAGTCCTCTTCCCCCCCCCCCCCTGGGCGGGCGGTGCCCCCCCCCCCCCCCGCGGATGTCCCCCGGCTGGTTGCCTCGCGGCGGTCCCCGTTGGCTGCCCCTTGTGGCTGCCCGCCGGCTCTGCCTCTGTGGCTGCCCCGCGGGTGGCCCCCCCCGCGGTCTCTCTCTGCGGCGGTCCTCGCGGCTGTCCCGTGGCTGCGCTCCGCGGCCGCCCCGCGGCCGCTCTGCGACCGTCCCGCGGTGCATCCGCTGTGGTCCGCCACCCACCGAACCGCCCCAACCCGGCCCGAGGGTCTCGATTTGCCCTCCACTTCCAGTGGTGGGGGGGGGGGTGTCGGGGAACATGGAGCGAACACGCGTGGAGCCCGTACCCCCCCCCCAAGCCGAAAGTCGGGTCTTCGGGTTGGGTCGGGGTGGTCTGGTAGGTCGTCAGTGGTCCCGCGGCTGCCCCGCGGCTGCCCCGCGGCTGCCCCGCGGCTGCCTCGCCGCGGGCCTCTCCGAGGGGCGGGGCCTGCGCGAGGCACCCCGCGGCCCACGGGTGTGGCCACGGGCGCCCCCCCCCCCCCCTGCGGGGCGAGGCCTCGGCGAGAGAGCCCACACGGGGCGCCCGCGGGCGGTGCCGCCGCGGGCCTTCGGAAAACTCGGGCGGGACGAAAGGGGGGATTGGGAAAGGAGGAGGAGGAGGAGGAGGAGGAGGGAGGAGGAGAGGAGGAGGAGGAGGAGGAGGAGGGGAGGGGGAGGGGGAGGAGGAGGGGGGGGGGACTGGGAAAGGGGGGGGGTTCGAAGTCTGCTGCACGCAGCTGCTTTCGGCCCCACCGAGGGGCCCACTCTCTCGATACGTAGCCGCCTCCGGCGCCGGGAGGCGCCGGGAAATCAGCTCCGTGAGCTGATTCTCCCCCCCCCCCCCCCCTTTGCTATCCCCCCCTTTCGCCCGACCCGAAAAACCCACCCGCGCACCTCGGAGTTGACGAAGCAAGGCCTCGGCGAAGCCTCGGCGAGCCCACCCGGCGCGCAGGGCGTCCAAAGGGGCGCCCTTGGGCGGTGCCGCTGCGAGCCCTCGGAACACCCACCCACGCACCTCGGATCTGGACGCCCGAAATGGGTACTGAAAGAATGGGTACCATGCCCGACAGCAGTTCCTGTTCACTTTGAACAGGACTCACTGTCCGCGCCGCCGCGGCCTGTGTTCATTTGAGACAGAAGGCCGCCTGCCCAACAGCGGCCGCTGTTGGTTCGGGACAACATTTGTTGTTGGGCATGTTGCCCATTCTTTCGGTACCCATTTCGGGTGTCCAAATCGGAGTTGAGCAAGAGCCCCGAAGTGTAAGGGCTGTTGGAGGAGCGCTCTGTCAAGTGCAGCAGCACGTGTATACGTAGGCAGGTTCCCCAACGGGGCGTCCGCGGGTTCTATCAGGTACAGCAAATGTGTAGTACAGCACCACGGTGCGCCAACGGGCGGCGCCGCTGCGAGCCCTCAGAAAACCCACCACGCACTTCTCTAGGCCTCCCAGATGGGGTCCGAGTAGATGGGGTCGGAGGATCGCGCCGCATCGCCGATGCATCGACGATGCGGCTCGATGTGGAGCCCGTGTTTCCCCACGCCGACGTCGCCGATGCATCGCCGACGTCGCCGATGCATCGCCGATGCATCGGCGATACATCGGCGATGCATTGGCGATGCGGCGCGATCCTTCGACCCCATCTACTCGGACCCCGTCTAGGAGGCCTCTAACTTCGAAGTTGAGCAAGCAAGAACCCCGATGTGTCAGGGCTGTTGGAGGAGCGCTCTATCAAGTACAGCAGCACGTGTATATGTAGGCAGGTTCCCCAATCAGAGCTTGCCTCCGTAGTGGTCCTAGCGGATTCACATGGTGAGGTGAGGTGCGTCGCCGATTTCGGTGGCCGGCCCGGGTGACTTGGTGCCAGGGTGCCCCAGGGTGCCCTGGTGCCCAGGTGCCCGGGTGCCCGGGTGCCTGGGTGCCCGGGGGTGCCTGGAGGTGCCCGAGGGTGCCTGGAAGTGCCCGGGTGTGCCCGGGTGCCCGGGTGCTCTATCGCCATATAGCCCTATAGCCCTTTAGCCCTATAGCCCTATAACCACATAGCCCTATAGCCCAATAGCCCTTTAGCCATATAGCCCTACAGGCCTTATAGCCCTATAGCCCTATAGCCCTATAGCCCTATAGGCCTTATAGCCCTATTGCCCTATAGCCCTATAGCTCTATAGCCCTCCAACCCTATAGCCCTATAACCCTATAGCCCCCAAACAGCTGTTCGGGTTTTTCTCCAGTATCATTGAATAGTTCACTGACTGTCTGTAGCTGGTAGTTACATGCAGCCGGTATTTAAATGTATATGTATTCACGTACATGTAAACTGTGCATGTACGTGCATATGTATATATACCTGCACGTTACATGCAGCTTGTATATGCATATGTAGCTGGTACGTTACATGCAGCTTGTATATGTATATATATATATATATGTGCATGTATTTGCATATGTACATATACCTGCATAGATGTATCTGTATGTGTATGCATGCATACGTATTAGGTGTATGATGTGTATGTCTATATGTATACACACCTGTATGGTTATGTTTAGGTATGCGCAAACGTGCGTGTACGGGTGCATGTCTTTTTCCCAACCCTCCTGCGTTGGGTTCTCGTTTTGAATAGAGCACTGCTCGCGCGTCTCCTTCCAACCCCCTCCCGTCCCTCTCTTCCCCCCTGCCTTTCGCCTCGCTCGTCGCTGCGTGCCAGCTGGTGGGCTGCGATCTGTGAAACTGTCGCCACTTTCGAGGCCTGCTGGGGGGCCCAGCACAGTGGGTACCCACGGCGGACTCAAATGGGACCTCGCCATCCCTGGGGGGCTGCATTCTGTGAAAATGTCACCACTTTCGCGGCCTGCTGGGGGGCCCAGTACAGTGGGTACCCACGGCGGACTCGAATGGGACCTCGCCATCCCTGGGGGGCTGCGATCAGTGAAACTGTCGCCACTTTCGAGGCCTGCTGGGGGGCCCAGCACAGTGGGTACCCACGGCGGACTCAAATGGGACCTCGCCATCCCTGGGGGCTGCGATCTGTGAAACTGTCGCCACTTTCGAGGCCTGCTGGGGGGCCCAGCACAGTGGGTGACTCAAATGGGACCTCGCCATCCCTGGGGGCTGCGACAGTGTGGGTACCCACGGCGGACTCAAATGTGACCTCGCCATCCCTGGGGGGCTGCGATCAGTGAAACTGTCGCTATTTTCGAGGCCTGCTGGGGGGCCCAGCACAGTGGGTACCACGGCGGCTCAAATGTGACCTCGCCATCCCTGGGGGGCTGCGATCTGTGAAACTGTCGCCACTTTCGAGGCCTGCTGGGGGGCCCAGCACAGTGGGTACCACACGGCGGACTCAAATGGGACCTCGCCATCCCTGGGGGGCTGCGATCTGTGAAACTGTCGCCACTTTCGAGGCCTGCTGGGGGGCCCAGCACAGTGGGTACCCACGGCGGATTCAAATTAGACCTCGCCATCCCTGGGGGGCTGCGATCTGTGAAACTGTCGCCACTTTCGAGGCCTGCTGGGGGGCCCAGCACAGTGGGTACCCACCGCAGACTCAAATTAGACCTCGCCATCCCTGGGGGGCTGCGATCTGTGAAACTGTCGCCACTTTCGAGGCCTGCTGGGGGGCCCAGCACAGTGGACCCACGCAGATTCAAATAGACCTCGCCATCCCTGGGGGGCTGCGATCTGTGAAACTGTCGCCACTTTCGAGGCCTGCTGGGGGGCCCAGCACAGTGGGTACCCACGCGGATTCAAATTAGACCTCGCCATCCCTGGGGGGCTGCGATCTGTGAAACTGCCGCCACTTTCGAGGCCTGCTGGGGGGCCCAGCACAGTGGTCAGATTCAAATTCGACCTCGCCATCCCTGGGGGGCTGCGATCTGTGAAACTGTCGCCACTTTCGAAGCCTGCTGGGGGGCCCAGCACAGTGGGTACCCACCGCAGATTCAAATTAGACCTCGCCATCCTTGGGGGCTTGCGATCTGTGAAGCTGGGGCCCAGCACAGTGGGTACCCACCGCAGATTCAAATTAGACCTCGCCATCCCTGGGGGGCTGCGATCTGTGAAACTGTCGCCACTTTCGAGGCCTGCTTGCAGGGCCCAGCACAGTGGGTACCCACCGCAGATTCAAATTCGACCTCGCCATCCCTGGGGGGCTGCGATCTGTGAAACTCTCGCCACTTTCGAGGCCTGCTGGGCGGCCCAGCACAGTGGGTACCCACCGCAGATTCGAATTAGACCTCGCCATCCCTGGGGGGCTGCGATCTGTGAAACTGTCGCCACTTTCGAGGCCTGCTTGCGGGGCCCAGCACAGTGACGCCTCCCAAGTAGCTTACACATCAAGTTGTTTGTCCATACAAGTTTCGGCCAACTCTTCGTTTCCATTGAAATGGGTTGGGTACGTCACCGTGCCTGGGTTTTGGGTCTGAGGTCTCTCAGATGTTTGTTGGGATCTTGTCGAGGCCTATCGGGGGTCTCCTGGAAACAGTTTTGAGGACTCTGGGGTGCTATTCTGGGGGCCTCTTGGGGCCTTTGGGGGGCTTCTTGGAGGCCTCTTGTGGCCTCTTTTGGACCTCTTGGGAGCATCTTGGGGCCTCTTGGAGGCCTCTTGGGGCTTCCTGGGCGCCTCTTGAGGCGGAAAGCTCGGATTTTCGGTTCGTGCTCCCCCTCGTGGGCCCCTCATGCGGCCCTCTTGGGGCTGTCTTAGGGTCCTCTTGGGCCGCCTTGGTCGCTTCTTCGGCCGTCTTGGGCCCTCTTGGGGGCCTCCGGGACAATCTTGGCGCGATCTTGGGGGCCTCTTGGGACGTCTTGGTGCGTCCGAGGCTCGAAAAAGTGGGGAACCCCCAACTCCGTAAAAACATCTAGGGACAATCAGTGATTTGTGCCTCTTGGGTTCCTATTGGGACGCTGGGACGCCTCTTGGGGCTCCCTCGAGGCATCTCGAAGAGGTGTTGGGCCATCTTTGGGGCCATATTGGGCGTCTTGGCGTGATCGTTCGGTGCTTCGGAGCACTCTTGAACCGCCTGGGCGGACTCTTCTGGCCCTCTCTGCTCGTTTTGGGGCTCCCGTGGGCCAGGGGAAGCGAACAAGTGATGCGACAATGACTCGACGCGCCCAGGCAGGCCCGCGGAGAGCCCCGGCCGTGCGTGGAATTTCTGGCCCGGGCCCCCCAAAGAATCCTCGGGATGGAGGGCCGAGGCTCCAGGGGATCGAGCAGGGGACCTGGTGGCCAACTCGTGCCTCAAGAGCACGGTGGCGGATGCAGGTGTGTATGGGTTTGAACATGTGCATGTATAGAGGATCCAGAGTTGCCTGCTCCCTCCCCCAGTCCAGATGGGATCGAGCCCCCCCCCCTCCCGCTGGATGGGTACGCCTGTGAGCCTCTCGAAGGTCCCGCGAATATGCTCGCTCCCCCCCGTGGTCGTGGCCCTGTGGGCGTGGCGTGGTGGAGAATGCCGGTGCACCCACCTCTCTCCGCCTGTGGGCGTGGTGTGGCTCGTCGTCGTCGTCGTCGTCGTCGTCGTCGTCGTCGTCGTCGTCGTCGTCGTCGTCGTCCGTCGGCGGCGTTGGCGTCGGCGTCGGCGTCGACGGCGGCGGCGTCGTCGTCGTCGTCGTCGTCGTCGTCGGCGTCTGCGTCGGCGTCGGCGGCGTCGTCATCGTCGTCGTCGTCGGCTGCGTCGGCGTCGGCGTCGGCGCCGGCGTCGGCGTCGCGTCGGCGTCGCCGTCGCCGTCGCCGTCGCCGTCGCCGTCGCCGTCGTCGTCGTCGCTGGCGTCTGCGTCGGCGTCGGCGTCGGCGTCGGCGTCTGCGTCCCCTCCCCATCCCATCTTGGGGGGGCGGCCTGTGGAACCATGGGACCCATCCCATCCGGGGAGAGGTGGGGGGTCTTTGAATCCTCGAGCATGGGATCATATGTACATATGTCGTCGCGCCGTGTGTTCGGACGCGCGCCCTTGCTTCTTGGGGAGGACGCCGCCTCGGACGCGGTGGGTTTGCCGTGGGGTTTGCCGCGGTGCCGGCTTCGTCTCCAGGGTTTGCCGTGGGTTTGCCATTGGTTTGCCGTGGTGTCGGCGTCGTCCACTTGGGCGTCTCGAGAACAAACGTCGCAGCGACATATTTCTACATGTTTATGTGTAAAGACGTATGTGCATGTGCACATGTGTGTTCACAGTATTATGTATTTGTATGTGCTTTCTATGTGTGTATACAGGCGTGCATATATACATGTATAGTATATGTGTATGTGTACAGGTCTGCGTAGGTGTATGCGTATGTATAGGTGTATCTATATAGGTATAAATGCCCATGGAGATGTACAACACTGTGTGCGTATATGTTCATGTACAATTAGATGTATATGTGTACCCGAGACCATCACACATCACTACACCTATGCACACGCATACGGGATACCATCCGACATCGCACTATGTGCGCATCCTCCTCATCGCTTGATCGGTAGTCTCCGTAGCCATTTGGGCTAAAGGTGCGGCACCGCCACCGACTACCGCTAGAGAAACGCTCTGCTCCCGCCATGTCTTTCAAGCCGCAGATCGTCATCGACTGCCGCGGGCACCTCCTTGGCCGCCTGGCCTCCGTCGTGGCGAAGGAGCTTCTCAACGGCCAGCAGGTCGTCTGCGTCCGCACCGAGGATATCAACATATCAGGCTCCCTCTACCGGAACAAGCTTAAGTACGCAGCGTTCAAGTGCAAGAAGATGAATTCCAACCCGAAGCGGGGCCCGCTCCACTACAGGGCACCTGCCAAGATCCTGTGGCGCACGATCCGTGGCATGGTGCCCCACAAGACGCCCCGGGGCGCGGCAGCGCTGGACAGGCTGAAGGCGTTCGAGGGCGTTCCGCACCCGTACGACAGGAAGAAGCGCATGGTCGTGCCCAGCTGCCTCAAGGTCCTGCGCCTGAAGAAAGAGCGGAAGTTCTGCAAGCTGGGCGACCTCAGCCAGCAGGTGGGCTGGAAGCACCAGGAGCTGGTGGAGCGCCTCGAGAAGCAGCGCAAGGTCAAGAGCGAGGTGTTCTACAAGAAGAAGCTCGGGTCGAAGAAGGCTCTCCAGGCCGCCGTGAAGGGCGCGGCCGTGTCTGCCGAGGACAGGGGGATCCTTGAGGCCGCCGGGCTCGCGTGATCGGCAGCGCCGCGGGCGGCCCCGAGCGCCTCCCGGAGGGCCCTCCCCGCCCCCTCGACTCAAGCGTCGCGAGGCAGCAACAAACACATGTTATGTGAAAGGTTGTTCTACAGGCTGCGCATGCCGGGGATGGACAGACCTCCTATCCTGACGCGTCGATTGGGGAATTGGCCTTTTTCGGTCCGCAGGAGGGCGTCGCGGCCGTCATTGTTGCGGGTCCAGGTCCGTCGGTTTCGGTCCCAGGCCGCTTTCACTAAAGGGAGGTTTACTAAAGGGGGGTTTGTCCACCGCCGAACATGGTAAAGCCACCAGCTGTTCTAAGCAGTTGGGTAGTCCAATGTTCCCAGATGCTGGTCTTGAGCAGTGCCTTGATTGGGATGTTCCAGAGCGTTCTGGACAGGACAGTTGCCTTCGGAGAGCCTGCGAAGCCCTTGCTGTATGGCTGTTTGGTGGCTCTGTGTTAGGTCCCCGCGCTACTTTAATCGCCTTCCTACTTCAATCATCGAGTGGCTTCACCTTTTCCGTCGTCCTAAGCGGGCGTTCGAAACCCAATCTATTTTCAACGCCTTCCTACTTCATGTTTCTACCTATTTCTTCCGACGATGGGTACACAAATCCCTAGTGTTGCAAAATCCGCACATGAATGCACGTACGTTCTGAAACAGTTGCGATGCCATTCTGCAACAGTAGCAGGTTGCCCCACGCTGTGCGCGTGTGCTGTCCACATTGGCACAGCAGGGGGCCTGATTTTGTATCGATATCTCGCGCATGAATGGGCATGGAGGGCGAAGCAGGTCAGTACCTTCTGAGTGCGTGTGTCCCCTTCACTGTCATGTCGTTGGGCAAGTAGATATGCTGCTCTGGCGTGAGATATCAAGAGGAAGCCCAACTCAAGGGGACGTTGTGCGCTGGGAATTCGGGAATATTGCATCAGACTATTTCTTGTCTGCTGGCGGGTTGACTGTATCCAGAGGCTCGCCACAGTAATCACAGAGCGATCGAGGAAGGCGAACGTCGTCTGTGCCTCCGTTTTCGTGTCCAAAGCCCCTGGTGCCGCCGCCGCTGTGGCGGCTTCGAAGCCGTCTTGGCCCAGGCGTCCGTGCTGGGGCGCCCTGGCTTTGTGCCATGGAGCGGGCCACCAGCGCCCACGGACGCCGCTGCGCATGCAGCTGGGGGGCTGGCGGCGACTGTCCCTGGGGCCCGCGCCAGCTCGCCTCGCGCGGCACCGCTGCAGGCGCGCGCTCTGGACCCCTGGGGTGGGCCATCGCCAGCGCCTCGACGACCCACACCGGCGGCCGGTGCTGACGCTGCGGGAGGGGGCCGACGCTAGGCTCCGCCGCGGTCACCCGTGGGTCTTCCCCCGCGACGTGCGCGACCCCGCGGAGCTCGGGCAGCACCCGCCCTGCCTGGTCAACCTGCAGTCCTCGGACGGGGAGGCGCTGGGCGTGGCGCTGTACAATGGGCGCGGCACGATCGCGGCACGTCTGGTGGGCTCGTTCTCCACCGCCACCAACACAAGGAGGAGGGGGAGGTGGTCCTCCTCCTCCTCCTCCTCCTTCTCCTCCTCCTCCTCCTCCTCCTCATCCTCCTCCTCCTCCTTCCCTCCCCCCCTTCCAACTCCTGGCGGTGGTGGTGGAAAACGGGCCCATCCACGTCGCCTGAGCGACCGGACCTACCAGCAGATCGACGCGGCCTTCTTCGCCGAGAGGCTCCGCAGCTGCCTCGCCTACCGCGAGCGGCTCTTCCCGGAGCCCTTCTACCGCCTGGCCCACGGCGAGGCCGACGGCCTGCCCGGCCTCATCGTGGACCGCTTCGGCGACCACGCCGTGCTGCAGCCCGGCGCAGCGGCGCTGGACGCGCTGCTGTGGCCCATCGCGGACGCAGTGGAGGCGGGGTCCGGGGAACCCGCGGTCGGTACAGTCCGGGGAAACATAAGGAGTCGAGTAAGCCGGAACGCGGGTTTGCCGACTTTTTTTTGACGAGCGCGTCCTGGATTTTGACGGTGCCGTTTTCGTGGGATGTCTGCAGCGCGGGCCCGCGTCAAAATTCAGATTGGGTCTGGTCGTTTTTATGATGGCCACCGTCAGGCCAACCCGAGTCCCCCGTACCCGAGTCTTACGTCTCCCCGAACAGTGGAAATACATGCCAAGAAGCACCCTGCTTGCCTCCAGGGTGCCCTGGGTTTCTTGGGTTTCGAGGGTTCTGCCATGGAGAGAGTGACGCTCCCGCACCAAGAATCAACGGACGCCCTGGGGTCTCAGGGTTGGGCTTCTCGTGGGAGGTTTCTTGTGGTCGAGCTCCTACTGTAGGCGGAAGGGGGAAGGCGTCTTAGAAGCACCCCTGCTCCTCAGAAGGCGCGGGCCCTGTCTGTAGGCGTAACGCCGGCACCTTCTAAGAAACAGCCTCCTTCTGAGAAGCCTTCCCCACTCCTCCTACCCTTAGGTCGGGCCCGTCCCTCTACAGGAGGAATATTCAAAAATAGCAAAAACATAGCCAGGGTACTATTTTTGCTGTTTTTGACCATTTTCGCATATTTTTCGGGGGTATTTGTTATTTTTCGTCCAAAATCCCCCTGCAGGGGGACACGCCCGACTTAACCCTACCCTTATGATGTTCCATCCTACTTTAGCCTTGACCACCAGAATGAATTTCGAGCACCAGGAAAACACCCCCAAACTCGAGGGTTTTCACGTGTCGGGCCCTGGGAGACACTCTTTCGACACTGTTGCGACACTCATTCGAAACTCTTTCGACGCTTTTCTGTGTGCTCGGAATTATTTCTGGGATCTGGTCCTTAAGTACGATGGGAACAACATAATCCCACCCCCCTCGGCGTGCCGCCTGAAGTTCGCGTCGTGTCGACTGGCGGCCCAGCATCGGTTGGTGTTGATCGGTCTGACGTTTCGGACACGGCCGATCGTGCAACGTTTAAGTCGGGCCTGTCCCTCTACAGGGGGAATCTTCAAAAATAGTCAAACAATTGTTTGGGGACTATTTTTTGAATATTAGCTCTGTCATTTAGAAAAAAATCGTCGAACATGCCCCTGACAGACATGATTATTCGTCGATCCCCCAGAAAATCTGGGAAAATATGGGAAGTTGGAGGGAAGACAAAAACCCAGAAGAATCCGCCAGCTGACTTGGCAGGCAGGCATGGGGCCTCTCGGGATTGCCTCTCGCCCGCAGAGGGTCAGGAGGGGAAAAACACAGACACAATTAATCGTCGATTCCCCAGAAAATCAGGGAAAGTATGAGAAGTGGGGGGGAAGACAGGGACCCAGAAGATATGCGAAAGTATGGGGAATCCGGTTATTTGTATGTGTATTTGTTTGTGTGTCCCAGGGCCCCTTCAGTGTCAGGATCCGTCACGGCGCGAATTTGCCGTACGTTTTTGAAGTGTTCCCTGGCCTCCGCGGAGACGGGGGTGCGTCTTCGCTGCGCGTAGGTTTTCTGGACACCAAGAGGAGGTGCTGCAGGCCAAGGTCATCATCGCTAGGCAGGACGCGCCTGGCCGCAAGCGCGAGCGCGCGCCGATCAAGCGCGAGGTGCTCAAGGGCCAGTACCGCGGCCCGACGGAGCTCCGCGAGAACGGTGTCACATTCTGCGCCGACCTCCTGCACGGGCAGAAGACGGGGTGGTACTTCGACCTCCGCGATCAGCGCGCCCTGCTGGCCGCCCTCGCTCCGAGGGCGCCGCGGGTTCTGGATCTGTACAGCCACGCGGGTGGCTTCGGGATCTCGCTCGCGCAGTACGGGGCGGAGCACGTCGTCTGCGTGGACTCGAGCGAGGCGGCGGTCGAGCTGTGCCGGCGAGCGGCGGCCCTGAACTCCGTGGGGAGCCGCGTGCACGCCGTGCAGGGCGACGCCTTCGAGTTCCTGTCGTCGCTGGCCGATGTGCAGCAGCAGTCCGCGCCCGGCGGCTCTCAGGGTCACGCTGGCAGGTTCAGCGACAGGGCCCTCCGCGAGCGCGAGTTCGACCTCGTGATCGTAGACCCACCGAATCTGGGCGGTGACCGTGCGCACGCACCGAAGGCGGGAAATGGGCTTCCGCCGTCCGGAAGCGGAGTTGGCACTTGTTACCGGAGAGGATGACCGACACCGTTTCTCTCCCCCAACATCCTGAGTGATTTGGGTCCTCGTTTTGAACCAGCAGCGCGCGCGTCTCCTCCTCCTTCTCCTCTCACCCCCTCCTGCTCCTCCTCCTCCTCCTCGTCCTCCTCGTCCTCCTCGTCCTCCTCCCCTTCCTCCTCCTCCTCCTGCTCCTCCGCCTCCTCCTCCTCCTCCTCCTCCTCCTCCTCCTCCTCCTCCTCCTCCTCCTCCTCCTCCTCCCCCTTCCCCTCCTCCTCTCCCTCCTCATTTCTTGGTTTTCCGCGTGCCAGCTTCGGTGCACCAGCACTCGATTCCGTGGCCTTACAGGGAGCTCCACCAGAGGCCTCAGTGGCAATGCGGTCACAACGCCCATTTCGGCACACCGGTCGAAAGTTCCGTGGCCCCACAGAGAGCTCCACCAAGCGACGCAGTGGCAAGGTGCTGCATGCGGTCCCAACGCCCCTTTCGGCACACCCCTTCACACGATTCCTCTGGCTCCACGGGGAGCTCCAGCGAACATCCCCGTGGCAGGGTGCCGCACGCGGCCCCCCCGCTCACATCGGCGCACCGCCCGCCCGGGAGCGCGACTCCGGGCCACGCCCGCGTCTCGGGGCCCATTCGGCTGGAACCCCAGGGGAGCTCCTACGAACGTCCCAGTGGAAGGGTCTTGCATGTGTACCCCCTGATGGGCCTGTTTTCCACCACCACCACCACCGTAAGTTGGATGGGGAGAAGGAGGAGGAGAAGGAGGAGGAGGAGGAGGAGAAGGAGGAGGAGGAGGAGGAGGAGGAGGCGGAGGAGCAGGATGAGGCGGAGGAGGAG